TTGCATATAACACATTCATGTGTTACCCGACTTACAGGCTTGTCCTGGGTTATCATAACCACTTGTCGGTTGTGCCCTTTATTATTTCGGCGTTCTAGACGCTCGCTCGTATTACTTCGGCGCACATAGCGCTCGCTCTTGGCACGACTGCGTACACCTCCCTTTGCAGTGTGTACAGTTTGCTTCCTGAATTCAGGACGCTTCCGTTTTTCAAGCGCATTTTCATTGCTTAAGGACGTTCCAAATTGTTCACTCAATAAATTTAAAAACTTGGCCATCTTCTGTAACTCTGGCTCCAAAGGATACTGAGCTCGATATTCAAACCATTTAAATTTAATCATAGTTCCAAGTTTCTCCACTATGCGGCTCACTAACTCCGGTGAGTATAAATACTGTGGTTGATTCAACGCTTGTATTGTGGCAACCACGTTCGTAATACGACTTGCAAAAGATCCTATATTCCGGCAAACTTCTGCCAATCTTGGCATACGTTTTACATTCTCGATTTCGGTTAGAATCGGAACAACCCTACCGAATCTTCTTTCGAGAGCGTTCATTATTTCTTCATATGAATTTATTAAGAGATATTACTTAAGAAAACAATAAACTAGTCAGGCCTGGGAGTCGAACCCAAGACCTTCATATAATTAATTCGACATTCTTTAAGATTTAACTAAGCATTTTCTTATTAGAACATTGCTATTGGACAATTTGACTTTTAGAAGCTATTCGTCATCCGTTGACTTAATAAACTCAAATATTCTTATAGGCGCGTCGCCAACAAATAGGGTTCCGTTGGGCACTCCGCCGGTTAGTGGTAGTGTAAGAATATCTACTATCCCATATCGCCACGTGGGTGTCGTAAGAGGCGACAGAAGGAAATAAATCAGGAGATGGGCAGCAGCATCTTCCTAATAACATCTAAAAATAAAAAACTGCGGTTCTCAACCCGTTTGCGAAGCGTGGTAACTATGGCAAAAATCTCCCATATATACAATTTATGAGGGAGGCTTCTTCAGTAGCGGACTTTAATAGGATGTAACGGTACGATACGGGGCACACTTTGGGTACGTAACCCTAAGAACGAACAACGCTTGAAAAAACGAATATTGAATAGCAAATACAATATTTTTGATTTATTATTTTATGTTACATAGTCTATTCGAATCATTAATAATAAAAAAACGGATAAGTAATAGATAAACTTAGTACTCATCATCTTTTTTAATTCGACTGACAATCCTATTGCCATACCCGCCCTTGCATTGCTATATTAAATTACTATATTGCAATGGGTGATAACGTTCCAGATTTTTCTCTTCCTCAAATATTTTATTACGTTATATAAAAAACAATGTAGTACTTTTCCGCGTTTATGCTCCATTGTTAACAGAATATAGATAAAATAATAAAAGAAAAACACAATATCGCTTTAAAATAAGTAATAATCAAAACCAATAACAGCGACTAACAAAAGTATTAACAATAAAAACTCTCGGATCGTTTCTAGCTCACAAATTTGGGAAATCGGGATATTTTTTCAATTTTATGGCATTTTGTTACCATTTATGCCAATGACAAGTTGAACTGAAGTTATAGCACGTACGGAAAAGGCGTATCGCAGCATATTTTTTGTAGTCTCTAGCAGCGGGTGTGAGTATATACAGTGACAGTGTGCGAGCGAGAGGTAAATAGAGATGACGCCAATTTCAGTCCCATTCTTTAACCGCACGTGTAGTACATAATGTACATAACGTCGTAAGAACCTCTATCTTTCATTCTTTTTTCTTTAACGTAACCCCCACACTAGGAGTTTCTCCTGTATTATGTGGAGGCAGTTAACTTAAAATGGAAACAGAAACTTTTTTTATTCAATATAGATTATAAATAATACATATCGAAAGTCACTTTTTTAATTTTCCACTGGTTAGAAAAGAAACCTCTGTACTAGGAAAAACGAGCAAGAAACCCAGAGGACTTTTTTTTAAATACAGCTTACAGTCATGCATGTTACAATTAACAACATATAACAAATTAAAAATAGCTTAGTAGCGATCACCTTTCCCAGGGGTTACGATCATACATAAATTCCTTAATATTATAATAACCCTTTTTATACAAACTTAGTTTAAGAAAGTTTTTGAACATTGTGCAGATCAAATTTTGCATATTTTCAGGGATTTTGTTGTAAAGGCGTATACGTCGTTTCAAGAATGAGTTACTGACTCGGTGGAGTCGAGTAACTGTAATCATAATAAAGAATATCAGTTATTTTTGTAAAACTACTTTTATTTTTGTGTACATTTCCATTAAGTGTACTGAGAGGCCAAAGTTATTTTTTTTTAATTTTGGTCTTAGCGACTCTTCAGGTTTTAAATCATAGATTGCTTTAATGGCCCTCTTCTGTACAACAAATATAATTTCAGTGTGAGTTGTGTCTCCCTGTAGCAAAATACCATACGACATTATGCTATGGAAATAGCTAAAGTAAACTAGCCTAGCTGTTTCAACAATGTTAAGCCTTCTGATCTTTTTTACAGCAAATGCTGCAGAACTAAGTCTGCTTGCTAATTTTGATAATGTAGGAGCCCCATTAAAGCTAAGCGTCTAGTGTAACTCCAAAAAAAAATGGTGCTATCAATAAGACTCAGCTTCTTCTCATTTAAAATTGCATTAGCACTATCATGTTTGACATTCGATGTTATGAATTTCATACATTTAGTTATATTGCCATTTAAATGCAATTTATTAACATAACCCAATTTCCTAATTGAGATATAGCATTATTTACTTCATCATAATTTAGTAAATGTAGTTTTTGTTTGAAAATTAATAAAGTTTCTTCAGCAAATAATACTATATCATGGTTATCCCCTACTATGTAAGGTAAGTCATTAATATATACAAGAAACAAAAAAAGACAAGAAGTGAGCCCTGAAGTACGCCCACTTGTACTATCGACCAGGAAGAACTTACTATTAATGACAACTATTTTCGTTTGGTTACTTGAACATGAAATAATTAATTTAACATCATCACTTCTTATACCGTAGTGTTGAAATTTTCTGATTAATTATTCATGGCGAACACTATCGAAGGCTTTGAATAGGTCACAGAATATACCCAAAGGATCCTCCAAGCTGATTAAATATATCTTCAATGCATGGGGGAATTCACCCCTAGAACAGATATCTGGGTAGCCAAGTCCTTGGTTGAGGTAATAAATAAATAATAAGATAGCACATTGGCACAGTACCTATCTGTAGTCAAAAAATTCTGAATTAATTTATTAATGTCTATTAAATTAATTCTATTATATTTTTTTACAATAAAATGTCAAATTTAATTTATTGTTAAGTGACAAATTATTCATTAATAAATTTAAATCATAATTTATTTTATTTACCTGTGGTCAACCCTGTACGAAAAGTAATGTAAACAAGATAATTTTTGTGCATTAGTATTAAAGTAATCAATATATTTTAATATTTGATTTTTCTTTACATTGCATCTTCTCCCAACAACAATTGTTAATGTGACCGTGATTGGTGATCAGTATTTAGATGATTAAGGTTTTATCATCAAGGTTTTATATAATAAATTTAAAACATATTAAACAAATTTATTTAATCGTGCATAAGAATATCCACTACTCCATATCACCCGAGGGTATCATCATACAAGGCGACAGAATGAAACAAATCAGTAGATGGCCGACAGTCTTTCTAACAACAACTCGAAAATAAAAAACTTGCCAATGCGTCTGACAAGCGTGGCAACTATGGCCAATATGGAGCATGCTGGGGGGAGGCCTTTGTCCAGCAATGGATGGGTTTATGGGCTGTAATGTATGAATTTAAATGTTAAGAAAGCTACCAAATATTACCAAAGATTTAATTAGCGTTGGTAACTTGCTTGACAAGGACTCATTACTGCTTTTTGGGCATAACTCCTTACTGGATTTTATACTTTTTTTTTTAAAACAGACCTAAATGTTTTAATTTATAGAATCTATTTGTATTAATTATATACGTAATACAGTTGCATGAAGTATTATAAAGTATCACGTCATTTGGCATACTTTATGACGCCCTTAGGAGGTAAAATAAACGCCAATTATATTAATTGCATGCATTTTTGGCAACATAAATATAATCTTTTTTTTAAGACTTAAACATGATGCTGGTTTGAACAATATCGAAAAGGTTTCAAAGGTATTACTTATATTTTTCTTTACGTACTGAATTGTGTTCAAATTGTCTTATTAATAGTTCATCCAGTACAGATATAGCAGGTAATTATTTTCTGATCTGCTGAATACAGCCTCTTACACATTTGCACATTTACTCGACCCGAATAAGATACGTGAGTCGTAAATTGAAGTAAAAAAGTTGAATTGAAAAGTTTTTTTAGCTACAAAATTATAGGTACGAGTATTTCTACAACAGATCAAAGAGAAGTATATATATATATATCATTAACAGTAAAGTGGTAGTTTATAAACCTCATATCACATGCATGTTCTACATTTGCAAGTATACACTTGTGGCACTATTTTAATCCCTTGTCATCTGTTCAAAATTTCCGAATATTCAGAATTTGTCACCGAGATTGGAATTGACCAGGCGTATATCATTATATCAATCAGCTAAATAAACTTATTATATACATTAAAAAGTACATCCCAGATATTATAATAGTTTGTATATATAAACAATCGCCAATAGAGCACTGTTGTCGGGTTGTTTGTTTTAAAACAATAATGTTAAACATGTAGTAGGGGTGCAAATATATCCAAAACATCTTATCCCGTGGGTGTCGCAAAGAGGCGACAAAGGGAAACAAACCAGGAGATGAATAGTTGTGTCTTCCATATCCGTCTAATCCGCCTACGAGGTGTGGTAACTATGACAAATATCCCCCATATGGGGCAACTTTTGGGGAGGCCTGTGTTTAGCTGTGTACTTTGATGAGCTGTAATGAATATGTTTACTTTAAAG